AATGCATGACTTATGACAGCGTAAAAGTAAGTCTATACCAGCAGGCAATATAGAAAAAAAAGGGAGAAAAATGATGGCTCAAAAATTGCTAAAGTTTTGCGAACAAGAAAACAGCTTCATAAATTGGGTAACAAATTAAGTTTCTTAAATTGGGTAAAAAATCACGTATTAATGTATTAGACCTTTCTATTACTTTCCTACCGTTTGCACAACAACTTTTCCGTAACTGAGAGGGAAGAAACAATCTCTTCGTTGTGCACTTTCTCCCACTCGGGCCTCAAGCGAAATGCCTTGGAAGTAATCCGAGATGCTTCACCACCTATTTTAAACAAACGTTCTGATTAATCATTATAACAGAGTAAAAAAATCTCAATAAAACGGAGAAATGCATGAAATGCAGGATTTTGGCAGGACAAAATCCAGTACTAATTTTGATCACACCACAATCTTTTAAAATTTTTGTCACTTTATTTGATTTAAACATTTTCAAACATGCAAAAACAAACTTTCTTTATAAGTTTTAATTGGTAAAGCGAGGAGTTTTATTACTTTATCATCATGTTAAAGATTACAATATATTTTACAAATATTTCTAATCTTAACCTCGTAATGCAGAAATGCCACAGAAATGCATTCCATACATCGCATAACTATACTGTGCATTCAACAATACTTCGTCAATCGTGTGAAATACGAAATGCCACTTATTATCAAAGAGAATTAATTAAATATAACATGCTTCTGCGTTTATTGAATATCATTAGCCTAGCCAAGGCTAAAACTGCCAACTTGCGCCAATTCTCTCGCATTGGATTCTCCCGTACTTCCTTTGTGAGAGTTTGTATCCCATCACGCAAGAACATGCGTAGGGACTGCAAGTCTTTAGTAGCTGGTAGTAGCTGTGGCTTGTTGTGTTTTTTTTTTTGTGCTGAGCGATTGCAAAGCCTGCCTTGACACTTTGCCACTCCATTCGCCACCATACCAGCTCTTGGAACAAGTCCATGTCTTTTTTCATGTCCATGTTCTTTGCGCGAACCACCGCTTTGCCTTTTAGAGCGAAAACAGCTTTTCTAAGCGCAAACCCGCATTTGTTCGATGTCAACGGCGCACAAAAACGGTTTGACTTTGATGTTTCCGGCCCAGTATATCCCCCAAGAGATCTTGCGCTGGCAACAACATCATTGAAATATCCCGGGGATATCATCTCTTCAATTGACAAATCGCCTTTTCCAGATAGTTCTCTGGTTTTGATCAGCAGGCGGGCGAATAACCGCATTAGTTGACTCACCTCACCTGCCTTCTCATTCCCTTACGTCTCTATTTCACTTGAGCCAATTAATAGTATGGTATCATCGGAACGAGCGACGCTGCTAATTTCATCAACCGTCATGATTGACAGGACGTTATTCTTTAGCTGTTGACTAGCAGCAACAGGGGAACTGGTTGGAAGCAGCCTCCCGGCATTTTGCATTTTCTTTGTGCTCCCTTGCTGCAAATTTTTTGCGCACAGACAATTCAGAGAATGATGCCAGAGGTCACTTCTCTCAAAAAATCTGTGGCAAAACTGGCAAGGCAGATAGTTCCGAGGATTTTTATCCTGATTTTTTTGCTGGCCTCCTAACGACTTTTAATTCGCCCTGCTGCCGTTCGAGGACCACCAGATTGTGGTTAAAGTTCCCCATCCTTGTCAGCCGTTCTTAGAGAAGATGGCGGGAGTTTTTTTCTTTTGTGGCAAGGATTTTTTTACCGCCTCCTCATTCTTGTGGGCTTGCTCGAAGTGTCGAGCAAGCTTGGCATATTCCTTGCCACAAAAGAAACAACTGTTTTTCTTGTCATAAACTCTTTTCCCGCCAACTTCACTGGCAACAATTATGTACACTAGGAGAAAGAAAAGAGGACGATTATATAGAATGTGTAAATATGATTAACTAAAGTTCATCTCAAAACCTTGTCTTTTTATTTCATTTAAAATATCGCCAGCTAATTATCCAGTGTATGCTTCTGTCCCTACATTGGATAGGCGTAATCACTAAAAATAAACTTTAATTTAAACACAATATTTTATAACTAACGATAATTAAGTTCAGAAGTGCACATTCCAATTTTTTGGGGGGTGGGGGGAGGCAGTTATAAATTTTTGAGGCTCTTCAAATTAAATTGGTACATCCATAGTTGCCAACTTTTGTAAAAAAAGCATCCGTGCATGAGATTTTCCTTCAGACATTTTAAAAATATGGAATCTCTAAATCATCGCAAATAGCATTTTTAGAGTTTGGTAATTTTTATGTTTTGATTCTTTATTTTTGGTTCAGTTTAGCGTTACTTTTTTTTCAGAATAAAAGAGTTAACTCTTAAAGCGACAAAGCCACCATATTCACAGCCCTTTGGTTATTTTCGTGTGCATGCCATTCAGTAATTGTGTTACCATTTTACGTTTCTTCGAAAACAGAAGAGGCTGTGTCAGTTTGTATTTTTTATTGCTTTGTTTTGTATTTACAACCATTCTTTTTCAGTTTTGATCACACTAAGAGAGTCAAAATTGCTCAAAATGCCCTGACACATATTAAACGATATTTATACCAAACACATGGACCGACAAAGGCAACAATTAAGTCAAATGTTTAACTTGACCGACTATTGGATCATTTCTCAAATTTCTTACGACTTCCCCCCATTCCCCTGGCTAAGTTGCTCAATTAACTATTTATTTCTGATGGTGTGAAACAGTATTTTGCCTACCTGATTCACTTTGGAATAATGGTCTTGGCAACAAAAAGAAATATTCTGTTTGTGCTTTTTGACCAATATGGTGATTTGATAAAGAACATTGTAATAAAGAACATTAAAAACTCTTATCTCCTGATTTTCTGGTTGCTTTTTCTTCTTTCGTATTCGGCCCCTCAACATCACTTCCATCTAACACATAATAATTAAGGTATGAAAATTCTGATTCATAATGATAATGATGGTGCTGAGAGAATAACTTCAAATTTCCTACTGGACTTGGAATATGTCGCCACACTCGCGACATCACGTTATTAACTGCTATTACTTTATAAATACACACGATGCATGTTCCAATTTAAGTTTGGAACTTTTAAGATGTGAAAGTCCCAAGTTAACACATATAGCCTGAAACAATCATAGTAATACATCTTAATGTCAAGATGCATGATAATATATATATATATATATGTAAATGAGTTGTCCGGTTTAAATCAGCATAGCCTACCTTTAAACGCGTACTCATCGTCATCATCCTCATCTTGGGATTGAAGAAAAATATTATTAATAAACCACCTTTATTGATTCTCTTTTATGTAACAAATTATAATTTCTACTACGGTATGAAAAAGAAAACAACTATTCATTTAGCTCTATTTATCTGTTAGCATTTATGCACTGTCCTGATGGGTGCTAGCTCAGCCTGTTTCATCCGTATATGTATCTTTAGGTGGTGACGAATCTGTCTTTTTATTTCATTTAAAATGTCGTTAATTATCCTGTGTATGCTTCTGTCCCTACATTGGATGTATTATATTTTCTTTTATTATTTAAGTTATTTGTAAGGCCTAATCACTGAGAGGTGCTAGCTCAGCCTGTTTCATTCGTATATGTATTTTTAGGTGGTGACTAATTTAGAAAGCTGTTTACATATGTATGCTTCCTGCTGATCGAAACGTGGGAGTATAGGGGTAAGCAATACATCCATTAGTGCTGTTGATTGCTTTGCTAATACGGAGTTTTGATGACGAAAACGTGAAATAATTCATTCATTTATTGAGGAAATTATCGTTATATTTTTCTTTCAAAATCCAATTTTTTCTTCCAAACATAAATTATACCTTTTTTCATCCCCCTGTGTACGAAATAGTGTGATTTAGAATTTACTGATTGATTTTAAAACCCTTATTGTTGTTCTCTTTCAATTTCCAAATGTATTTCGAAAGTACGGTTTCGTTAGAGTCTTTGATGACAAAAATATTTAGTATGGTTAGTGTACCACTCATTAGTTTTAAATGTGGTTGCTAAAAGCAACTTGCATGCTATCATGCCTACGTAGTGCTTAATGCTGCATGTGTTCTGTTGCTTGTGACTGTTGCCTTACCGCTGTATCGTTGTCATGCTTAGCTTACGTAAGGAGAATTTGAATGTATACTCTTGCTGTCACAATTGCAATTATCAGTTATCTTATTCTGGGGAAGGTTGTTCCTACACAGCCAGCCAGCTCTCACAGGTCGGTTGTAAGTTGTTGTCAAGCCGATATCTGGATGCGTTCGCTCGGCTTATTGCCTTATTCCCAGTTGTTGACAAGTCTGGAACAAGTTGTTATCATCTTGTAACAAGGTTGATAAAGTCAACGGACTTGCAGGCTGTTCATAACAAGTTGTTAACAAGTTGATAACAACAATCACGTAGCAACTTGTTACGAACAGCCTGAATGAGTGTTGTTGGAACAAGTTGTTGCAAGTTCGTTGACTTTATCAACCTTGTTACAAGTTGATACTAACTTGTTCCAGACATGTCACGACAGCTGGGAACAAGCAATGCGAACGCATCCTGGTCGTGGCTTGACAACAACCTTGTTACAACTTGTTATCAGACTTGTTGCAATTTGCGTGTTTTTGGCTGTGTATAATTATATGTGTGAGCATTGTGCTTATAGAGATGATAGACTCAACGTGGAGCTATAGCTCATTTGTACTTGTGGTAAGTTGCATCCTTTTCATATTCAAATTAGCCATAACCTTTTGTAGTACTGATTTGACAGGACAAAGAACGGATTACCGTAACAGTTAATCAACTATCCTTTTTAAATCGACATACCTTTGAACGCATATTCGTCTGTTGGCCAGAACACGGCAGAAACTGTTCTTAATTTAGCCAGTGAGTACAATATAGATATTTCTTCAAATACAGCTCCACCTGTTACACTTGTGTCAGAACAGTTTGAATTTAAACCAATAACTCAACATGACCTTGAGACTTGCATTGGTAAAATGCCTGCGAATAAATCGCCCGCAGCTGACAAGATTCCTATGAAACTTTTTCATGACTGTCTGTCCAACATTTCCTCTCCATTGACAGATATTATAAACCAGTCATTTGAAACATCAGTGTTTCCAGAGGACTGGAAATACACGGTAGTTGTACCTCATCTCAAGGAAGGGGACCATGAAGATGCCAGAAACAATCGTCCAATATCACTTTCACAATCTGCTTCTAAGATATGTGAGAGAATTGCCTTAAATCAATTTATGAATTACTTGGATGCAAATGACTTACTCACAAATCACCAGAGTGGGAACAAAAAATATAACTCAACAGAAACGCTGAATATCCATGTTACTGATTTTATACTTAAAGCTATGGATAAAAAACAGATGACCGTGCTAGTCCTGTTGGATCTAAGTAAGGCTTATGATAGTATAAACCATGATTTACTTTTTGGCAAACTCAGAAGCCTAGGAGTATCGCCATCAGCACTTAGATGGTTTTATAGTTATCTAACAGGCAGGAGACAAGCCGTACGCATTGGATCAACTTTGTCCAGTAAGCTACCGATAAAAAATGGGGTTCCACAAGGTTCAATTCTTGGACCTATCTTGTTCAGCTTGTATATTAATGACTTACCTACTGTTGCACAGCACTGTAACATTGAATCGTATGTGGATGATTCCAAACTATTTTTGGCTTTCTCCTTAAACGAATTAGATGATGCTGTAACCAAAGTTAACCGGGATCTTAAGTTGACCTTTGAATGGTGTTGCACCAACTACCTACTTATCAATCCTACTAAGACAAAGGTAATGGTATTTGGAGTACCCCAACTTGTTTCCAAGTTACCTCAGGATATAACATTTACTCTAATGGACAAACAACTTACAATTTCATCAAATGCGAAAGACCTTGGTGTCACATTGGACCCATATCTGAACTATAACGATCATGTAGCTAACGTAGTGTCCTCTTGTATGAGCGCATTGGTACAAATAAACAGAGTTCGCCACCTATTTAAGCGTGAAGTTTTAATCAAAATCATAAATTGTTTGGTATTCAGTAAATTATATTACTGTTCTTCAGTGTGGGCATCAACATCTGAAACGAATATTGGAAAGCTTCAGTGTGTTCAAAATTTCGCTGCTAGGATAGTAACTGGAACGAAAAAGTTTGAACATATTACTCCCATTTTAAAAGACCTGAAGTGGCTGCCGGTTGCAATGGAACTTTATATTAGGGATGCTGTCATGACATTTAAATGTGTAAATGATCTTGCGCCATCTTATCTGTGTGGGAAATTGAATAAAAGACAACAAATAAGTGGTCGTATAACCAGACAATCAAATGACTTTCAGATACCCAAATGCAGAACTGCAACAGGGCAGAAGTCTTTTGAGTATCGCTCTGTATCTATTTGGAATTCGCTCAGCCCAACTGCCAAACAGTTGTCCTCAATTAAACATTTTAAACATTATCTTAAGAAACATTTTCTTAATATATTTTTAAAAAGTACCTAGATTGTAAAATTTCCTTTTAACAATTGCATGTATAACTTATAGACTTAATTTTAGAAATCATTTGTAAATTAATTATAAAATAACTTGTAAATTAGTTATGAAAAGCTCATGTTTTGAGATAACTAATAAAAATGTATGTATCTTTGTCCATATTCTTAGCAGCCATATCTTCATCTTGGAATTAAATAATAGAATAATAACAAATGATATTTCCTACTGGGGGTATGAAACAGGATGTATTGGTTTTTTGAGTAAAACAGAAAACTATATTACAGCTCGATCTATATAGTGTTAGCATCGTTTGTCTTCCATTGATTTATATGATAACAAAGACAAAGTTGACAACACACTGTACTAGCGGGCAACTAGTTTGGTGAAATAGATATCGTTGGTCAGTTGCTATATAGTGAGTAAGAGACACCATATACAGATAATTTGAGTATAGTAACCTTTATATAATATATAGTAATTTCCTTCTTTTGGGGCCATAAATTCAACATATAATATATACAGCTAATTCAATAAAGGTTGTCCTTTACAAAACTTAAACTCTAAACCTTAAACCTTAAACTCTAAGCGCGCAAAGCCTAATGGGGCACAAGTTTCTGGCTTTGTAGTTAAATATTGCAACTTTTTTGAAGTGAATTGTTCTCTACTTCTCTTAGGGGAATATTTACCATGTTCCTAAGAAATGGACCTCATACATGAGTTCTAAACTGTTTTAATCATGCTCCCATATGCTTTGCGTGCTTAGAGTTTAAGGTTTTAGAGTTTAAGGTGTGCAAAGGACAACCTTTTTTGAATTAGCTGGATACCTTAAACTCTAAACCTTAAACTCTAAGCGCGCAAAGCCTAATTGGAGTACAAGTTTCAAGCTTTCAAGCCGATCGTTATACCATATATACATATACACAGCAAATTCAAAATAGGTTGTTCTTCGAAAATCCCAAACCTTAAACTCTAAGCACGCACAAAGTTATGGAGTTATGGGTAAGTTTTGTCAACGAACAACCTTTTTTAAATTAGTCGAAGTATCAATAGACGTTTAATAAATTTAATTTTTGGTTGCATGCCACAACCTTCGACAGAAATAAATTTTCTGGTGAAGGAACAACCTGTGACATGCAACCGAAAAATAAATTTATTTTCTGTTTATACTTCAACGTGTGGTAGATAAAATATTTATATGATTTTATTTATTATTTTAGTATAACTAAGTTAAAAGTAATTCACCTTCGCTCTTTTCAGTGTCTATTTCGGGCACGTAATCCTCAATCTCACTTTCTTGATCACTTTCAGGTAGGGAATCGTCATCACTTCCAATATCAATCTTGGTCCCGCTGCGACATGCACCCTATAAGAAGCATTAGTAAGCATTTTTTCAAAGATAGATTAACTAAAATACTATTTCATTAAATGTAATATAATCCATTCGAAATTAAAAGCTAGCTTTAGCCGTCAGACTCGATAATACTCAAGTATACTTGAATAAGCTGCTAGGAGTAACCCCTAATAGAGATTCCCACTCCTCATTCCCCAATTCCCGTGGCCCATTCCTTGTTACAGTAATAGCCATTACTCAGGTGCCGAATATTTTTTTAAAGTACTTAGACTTCAGAGAAGATCCGTCTGAATTATTTTAGGTGCTATGAAAACAACACCATCTATTTGCATTTTTTAAAGTTTGAACTGGCTACCTTTTCAAAGCAATCCGTGAAGCTTTTAACAGTGTAGTTTTTAAAAAATTGTAGCTTTTAAACGTGTGAATACTGCTTATTGTAGTCCAGATTATCTAGATTTGTCTTTAGTGAGAAATTCAGACATCCATGGAAGAAATACCCACTACTCAAATTTTAATTTGCATTGTCTACATTCTAGCACAAAACTGAAGGTGGCAAGACCTCTTCTGTGAGAACTACTGTTGGAACAAAATTGAGCATATATATAACCTGTAAGCTGAATGAGCATTGTTAATTAATGGCAGACGTATAGCTTTAAGTTTTGCTTATGTACAGGAAGAAAAATGGCTTCGCCAATTTAATACTTGCAATTGAAGATACAGGCCAATCAACATCCAAGGCAAACTGTTAACTACAAAGACAACCTGCAGGCAGCCCATGCGAGAACTAAACACGTTATTGATGCAGTGATGCTAAACACTTGATGGAACCATTATTCGGGCCTTTTTTCACAAGTCAGCCAGGGTTTTTTTTCACAAGTTGCGCCTTTCAGTCAAGCGTTGTAATGCCGGATAATTGGAATATATTGTCATGAACCATATAAACATAGATCCGATCGGAAATACAAGATACATGAGCGATCAATTTTCTAAATGTGTGTTTTGCTTTATGAAAGATATCGCCCAAGCTCTGCCAAACAAGTCCGAAAAGTTCTTGATTCATTATATTTGTTACCGATTGTGTAAATAATTAGCATTATTAGCGGATTTAGCACATGGGTCGATGACTAAGCATATTGCGGTAAGCACTCCCTTCCACATCGCCCATGCATCCTTGACGTCATTGCATGCAAACGCTCTATTTATGTAGACTATAAAAATAGAGAGATTGTTCTTAATAAACCAGATTCTATATACTGAGTGTGTTGAAGTGATTATTGGGGATCTTGGTACGCTACATATTCTTGATCCATTATATGTTTTTATCAGCGCATTTACCTTGTGACCAAGATACTGGTTAGCCGTCTTCGAATGATCTGTAATTTTTAAAAAAATTCAGTATATAGATATACAAGGCGAACAAACAATAGGAAACGAGGTCCTCTACAAGGTTTAAACACCTGAAACTAAACTAATGTAAAAAGTGTCCCCCTCCCTAATTAATCTACTCGAAGAGTTGGTACTACATATTATAATATTCTAACCAATAACTATAAGTGGTATTAGGGGCTGTTTACATGAGCCCGGAACCGAGGCGCCCGGCCACATACAAATTACCTTAAAAAAAATTTTAGTTTACATGTAAACCGGGCCAGCCCGGCTAGCCGGGATCTCACTTGAGTCAAACGGGGCGCCCGGTTAACCGGGCTAAAATTTCCCATGTAAAGTCACCAGCCTGGCTAGCCGGGCTATTGCAAAAACTGCTCTACGAGCTACAATATCGATTGGACAAGTAGTTATTTCTTAAGTTGTTCTTGTTGATTAGATTTAAATTGCAAATTTGCTCTATAAAACATGCATTTGACATGTGTGACTCGTAAACAAGTTTTCCCGCCCAATTTAGCTTGGTAACGTTTCAGCCCGGCTTGCCGGGCTCATGTAAACAGCCCTTTAGTATAAACTTAGAAGCGGCTATTACGTGTCCAGCATTTTGATTAGCTACGCTACTATAATAGGCTAGTGATAGCCTACTATAGTAGCAGAAGAGCAACAAAAGACGCGTGAATCAAATGGCTATTTTTTATTTAGGGGCTGATTGCATGGAGCCATTTCAGCCCGGGCTGAGTTTCAGCCCGGTTTGCTGAACTGAAATGGTATAACGATTGGCAGCTTGAATCCGGGCTGAGTTTTAATCAGAGCTATATTTATCCCTTGTGGTAAACAAACCTGGGCTGAAATCATACGATATCGCGAAATGGCCAGTAAGGCAATGTTTCGCTTTTTTGAACATTTAAAATGCCGATTATTCGACTATTTCACTTGTGTGAGGCTGTGGTTGCATATAAAGCATTAAAGATGAGATAAAACACGAAATAAAGCCATTTTAACAATTTTTTTTCAGCCCAGGCTGAAATTTATTTGCGATTACATGCTGCCCGGGCTATCTTTCAGCCCAGGCTGAAATTTCAGCCCGGGCAGCTCAAACTGGGCTGAAATTTCAGCCCGGGCTGAAATTCTTGTCATGTAATCGCGCACGGTATTTTATACCGAGTTTATAGTAAAACCGGGCTAGTTTATAGTAAAATCAGTTTTGTTTTTGTGTTTATCTTGTTTTCTGGTTGAAAAACTTTTAATATAATCGCTAGTCCGTATGTAGTTTTCCGATTAAATTTTAGGCCAAACTTTTGCCTGTGTGTCCGCAAGATGATAGAAATGTTTTGTTCACTATTTTGTCAAACAAATTATAGTTGTTTTTTTATTGTTTTAATTTAATCTAAACAGAGGTACTTTTAACAACATTTTTCTTCGGAAAACAGCGACTGTAGCTTCAACGGAGGATCGGGAATTTCGGCGCTTATACATGCATGCAATATAATTTCTTATTTTGGACCGGGAGTTGTTTCCCGCAAGGTCAGCGGATATGGACAGTGGGTTCATTTTCGGAGCTGTTGTTGTTCGGTTGAAAACTTGAGGTCGAGGAATTTTCCATCGAAGCCAACTTTAACACTTTTTAAGTGTTATTAATTTGTGCGAATTATTGGCATGTTATTTGTGTATTTACTGTTTAAGACGTGCTTGAGAAGAGACTGGACGGTAAAACTGATTTATTTTGCTTTCTCCAACGATGTATTGTCTCCGTTTTGTATCATGTATAATATATTTTCTCGTATTTATATGTTTATTTTTTAACTTTTTTGTTCGCTCTGCAGAGAACTTTATCGTAATTTATTATATGTAATGTCATTTGACTTTTGAGGATAATTTGTAAGGCAAAATATCTTAATTTTGTACAGTGAAAATAAAAACTGTATCTGTTGTCTCGACGAGCCGGACGAGGTCTTCTTGGACGTCATATAAGATCATTATAGAGTCCCCGGAAGGCCCGGTATATATATATTTATAATATAGCATTTGTAAATTCTGAACGCTGAATTCCACACAATTTCTAGTTTTCCCAATTCCACTCGTGTTGATATAACTGTATATCAACACGGAAAATTTTTATATTTGTTAAATATATACCAGGTGGCGCAAAAAAAAGTTAACCTGTTTGATTAAGCATAACTTCTAAACGAGGAAAGCGATCAAACCGAAATAAATTTCATTTGACAGAGGGAATATTAACTTAGATTTTGATATATTACAGTTGTATTTTACTTAAAAATTCACGGAGATATGAATATTCAAAATCGATAGCGAATTTCTGGACGTGTCTAAAATATGAAAAAAAACGCCGTATCGAATATTAATCAAGCTTTGCTCAGCTTAAAGACATATCAGGGTATTTCAATAAATTATCATAAGGGTTTGTAAGGGTATAACTTAGATTTTGATATTTTACATGTAAGTTTAAACTCAACGTTCGAAATTATGCAAATGTTTGATAAATCTTTATTTAAAGACTTAAAAATACCTTAAAGACAAGGGCAAGGAGTCCGCATACATTTTCCTTGAATCTTTTTCGTATTTTGGGTGGAAAACAAAGTAGATTCTGAAGGATTAAATCTTGCTTATATTTTGAAAATAATAATACTTCATTTCATAATAAACAATTTGTCAAGTGTAATTTATTTGCTGCTAATAGTGCGTGTTTCAGTTGAGCAAAGCTTGATTAATATTTGATACAGCTTTTTTGTATATTTTAGACACATCCGGCAATACGCTACCGATTTTGAACATTCATATCTCCGTGAATTTTTAAGTAAAATACAACTGTAATATATCAAAATCTGAGTTAGTCTTCACTCTATCAAATGAAATTTATTTTGGTTTGATCGCTATATATATATATATATATATACACACACACACATACACACACACACACACACACAGCTAATTCAATAAAGATTGTTCTTTGAAAACCTTAAACTTGAAACCTTAAACCTTAAACTCTAAGCGCACAAAGCCTAATGGGAGTATAAGTTTCAAGCTTTGTAGTTGAATATTGCAGCTTTTTTGTAGTGAATTGTTCTCGGAGGGGAATATTTGCCATGTTTCTAAGAAATGGGCTTCATAGATGATTTCTAAACTGTTTAAATCGTACTCCCATTATGCTTTACGCTCTTAGAGTTTAAGGTTTAAGGTTTTAGAGTCACTCTCCACTGTACAGCTAAAATGATTAACTATATACTGAACCACATCGAGGCTCTTACGTTACACTTCATAAAGGAGTGCAAAAGAAAAGCCTCTCGGCCATTCCGTCCTCTTGTTTTCATTACCATCTTCCAGACAAATCCAGAAAAAAGTTTCTGACTGCCCCATGCACCGGAAGGAGAGATTCAGCTTTTACAATGCTTGTGATTTACCGTTATTTTGAGTAGAACATTTACTTTCGAACATTTAAAGATTTTCTTAAAAAAAAATTTTAAAAGGATCTTGAAGAGTTTGACATCACTAGTATTTTACCTGTTTCATGGCACTTGTAGCACTTTACTGCCTGCCCATAACCTTCATTACCAAGGGCAACACCACAAATGACATGCACAGAATGACGACAAGTTATACATTTATGTGCTCCGGAAACTTCACCAAAACCAACATGGGCAGTGATAATCTGTCACGTCTAAAAAATAAGAAAGTCATTTGTCATATTGCTATATGTAATAATTGTGGCAAAATTTTAGAAACTCTATATGTTCATTTCCACATTTCAGCTTCGACCATTCTGCCTTCTGGTGTGTTTGTTAGCTATGATTTCTTTTCTTTCACTTAACCACGTCATACTTCAAATACGTCATATTTCAGTTGTCTAAATGACTTTTTATTATACATGTCAACAACAAACTATTGGTTGGTGTACATGTTTATCCAACTATACTTAAAAAGACAAAGAAAATACTTCCTTCGATATTTTGAGCGAAGTCCTTTCAAAGTCCTACTTTATCCCCACTTATTTTTTATATCGCTACTGACACTGGTACCCACCGCAAGCGATCAAAACCGTATCCGTATAGATGACCTTGTCAAATGCTAAAACTTTTTTCTCCCAAATTGTGGTACATTAAATACTTTTTAGTATTTTTCGATGTGTCTGCATTTGCGCAAGAATGCATTCCAAAAGCCGCTATCATTTAGAAATGTGTAAGTGTACACGGAATCGATGAGACATTGCGTTCATGCGAAGATAAATGTTGAAGTCCTTGATTGTTTTGACTTGTCAACGTCATTTAACAAGTCATGTTATTATTATTCATAATTTGTGTTTTAATATACTTTTTCTTTCTACCTTCTAAATCTTTTGCAGATTGATCACATACAAACAAGAAGAAAAAGATATCAAAATTTACACCACATAAAAAGACGCGAATCGTCGTTGTCAAGGTACATAATGTTATCTTTTTCCCAGACAACAATTATGTAGAGCAGAAAAGATTTTAAACTTCTATCCATTTTGTTATGATACTCAATTTTTATACATATTGAAAGTGTAATAGAGAAAATTTAGTTCCCGGGTATCTGGCTTTCGACTAGTTTTACTGAAACAGAAAAACGTGAGTAAAATGCAACACTGTCAAAATGATTACACATATTTATCAGGTGTCCTCTAAGCATCGCGTATCGTAATTTATTATACACTTGCTGTATATACATAAGTGAAATAAAAAATGTATTTAAAGAAGGACAAAGTGACTAAGGGAGTTGATTGACCGTTACTGTTTTCCTCAGTAGGGAGAATTATAGTATCGGCATTTTCGCTCAAATTTGTAAACTTAGCGCTCGCTTTGTGTGAAGGTGCTAAAGATGATATTTTTGTTTGGTCTGCATGTATAAGCCAAATAATGAAGCAATAAACAGTAACCAATTTGTTTTGAGACTTGCATATTTCCCTTTCCTGTGCATAGTTTGCTGTGGAACTTTCATGCATTTCAAATATTTATATCTACATGTATATAATAAAATATTTACCATCCTGCAGCGAGACTGGTTCGTCACCATTGTCGTTTGGAGCTTGCTGCAATATCCGTTCATCACCGTGGAATGTTGAACCTGCAGTTTGTGAAAAAAAAATTGTAAAGAATAAGTCTATGATAAATGGATGGTATACATGTGGTGTTTTATTGCTGACTTAATCAAAATGATTTTGTTCTGTTATGCCACTGGCATCTAGGAAAACTGGAAAAATAAATGTTCAAATGCATGTTTGTCTTTTTAAAGCTTCCTTGGTTTTAGACACGAACTGAAATCTCTTTCAAGCCAAAATAAAGATTCCAGAACTTTGTAAATTATCAAAGAGAAGAGCTTGCATGAAAAACCTCCCGTAATCTGTGATTGCTAGGTTGTACGAAAACTATACAGGCTTGATCATTTGGATGTCCTGAAAATTCTTAGAAATATGTAAGTGTACACGGAATCGGTGATACATTGTGTTCATGCGAAGATAAATGTTGAAAGTCCTTGATTGTTTTGACTTGACGTCCACATCATTTAACAAGTCATGTTATTATTATTCGTAATTTGTGTTATAATACACTTTTTATTTCTACCTTCTAAATCTTTTGCAGATTGATCACCTACAAACAAGAAGAAAAAGATATCAAAATTTATTAAACCGCATAAAAAGACGCGAATCGTCGTTGTCAAGGTAGATATAATGTTATCTTTTTTCCAAGACAATAATTATGTAGAGCAGAAAAGATTTTAAACTTCTATCCATTTTGTTATAATGATATTCAAGTTTTATACATATTGAAAGTGTAATAGGGAACATTTGGTTCCCTGGTATCTGGCTTTTGACTAGTTTTACTGAAACAGAAAAACGTGAGTAAAATGCAACACTGAAACATGATGACACATATTTATCAGGTGTCCTGTAAGCATCGCGTATCGTAATTTATTATACACTTGCTGTATATACATGGATGAAATAAAAAATGTATTTAAAGAAGGACAAAGTGACTAAGGGAGTTGATTGACCGTTACTGTTTTCCTCAGTAGGGAGAATTATAGTATCGGCATTTTCGCTCAAATTTGTAAACTTAGCACTCGCTTTTTGTGAAGGCGCGAAAGATGATATTTTTGTTTGGTCTGCATGTATAAGCCAAATAATGAAGCAATAAACAGTAACCAATTTGTTTTGAGACTTGCATATTTCCCTTTCCTGTGCATAGTTTGCTGTGGAACTTTTGTACGTTTCAAATATTTATATCTACATGTATATAACAAAATATTTACCATCCTGCAGCGAGACTGGTTCGTCACCATTGTCGTTTGGAGCTTGCTGCAATATCGTTTCATCACCGTGGAATGTTGAACTTGCAGTTTGTGAAAAAAATATTGTAAAGAATAAGTCTATGATAAATGGATGATGGTATACATGTGGTGTTTTATTGCTGACTTAATCAAAATGATTTTGTTCTGTTATGCCACTGGTATCTAGGAAAACTGGAAAAATAATGTTCAAATGTTTGTCGTTTTAAAGCTCCCTTGGTTTTAGACACGAACTGAAATCTCTTTGAAGCCAAAATAAAGACTCCAGAACGTTGTAAATTATCAAAGACAAGAGCTTGCGGAGTAGTGTAAATCTGTGTTATCTGTTCCAATAAGCAAATCCACCATCCCATCTTTGCAAAATCACATTGTGTTAAATGTTCCCATCTTTCCTTGCTAACACTCCACCTTGTAATTTCCTGTAACCTTTCGAGGGCAGGTCTTCACACTAATGTTCTCACAAAACTGTCCATCGACACTCTCAATAGTAACATTTACTGGCATAGACTCAAATGTTTCAATTTCGTCATTCAGGACGTGGACTGTTTGTAATGGTTCTTGAATGTCCAACACTCCTGCAACATCAGCGTAAAGGAACGTCTCATTTGATGCATGGTTGAGCAGCACATTAACTTTCACCTTTCGATTGTTCACTTTCAAACATACCGGAATTGTTCGTAGTGAGAGTGCTTCAGTGGCTGGGGTATCTTGCGTTGTGGTATGTGTGCGGGAATCAGATTCTTGGCCTCTGGGCGCTTGACTTGCGGGGCAGAATCATGCAGCAGGGCATGGTGATTCTTTATGCAACCATCAGTCTTGCAGGCTTTGGACCAAAGGCATGCCTTCCCCTGGTGGTCACTCCCAAGACACGACAGCAAAAGCACAAGTGCTTAACTTTAGCTATGTTCCATACAATACAATACAATACAATACAATACAATACAATACAATAATTTATTGAACTCTCCCCAATGGGGCTTTTCAGAGCCAATTAACATTTCCAAAAAATTATAAGATATACTATAACATGAAATTCTATATATTCCATCTATCTTGAACCTTCATATTCCAAAATCTCTGGCAAGACCATATACCATGGTTCCCCTCACACAATGTGGCTTCACATCCTTACCACCAACTCCACCATGATCAGCAAATAGTGTACAGGACAGACCTCTATCACCATATCTAGACTTCCCCCCACCAGCCTCATTCCTTTTTAATGACAAATCAATACCTTCAACACCATGAACCATTTCCACAGCTTCCACTCTCATCTCAACCTCTTCCTCCAATCAATCCTTCAAGCTGAACACTGACCTCTTCTTTTTTATGTTCCCTAAGCCAACAACTATAGTTTTCAATCTGTCTTTCTGCAAGCTTTTTGACCAACAAACCATGCAACGTACCTTCCCCCAACTCTCCATCCCGACCCTCTGCCTGCAACTTAACAACAGTTATCCAGACAAGATCTGTGAATCTCTGAAAGTCCTGCACATCACTACCCTTCAGGGAAGACATTGCCTCTAGCTGATCCATATACGCCTGCAATTGGTAACTTACCAACATTACTGCCATCTTTAAAAAGAATGATCCTACAATTCCATTGGACTATAGACCTATCTCTTTATTTAACTAGATATATACCTCATGAATAGTTTAATGAGGTTTTTATCTAGATAAATACCTCTTTAAACTATTCATGAGGTATTTAACTAGATATATACCTCATGAATAGCTTAATGAGGTATTTATCTAGATAAATACCTCATTTAAACTATACTCATGATGTACTTATCTGGGTAAGTACCTACTGAGAGGTTAGACTCTTTCCCAACTCGATAAACGCTGAACCGTCTCCAGTCGGGAATGAGACAACAGCCGTGTACCTCAGAGCCCGTCAAAACTCTACCATTAGGTAAGAGTATCTATCATTTGGCGCACAAGGACTAGCTGGATCAACCATCAAACATGCTTGTGCAGGGAATTTATACAGTAACATCTGGTCTTTCGCTTGTGGGACGTGAAATTATATACTGCGCATGCTTAACCACATTTTAAAGCGTATATAGTGCGCATACTCAGCTTTGTGTTACGTCTCACAAGCGTAAGAGCTGTTTTGTGAATAAACTCCAGATCATGAAATAAGTTAGTTAAACACCTCGGGTGTCGGTATTTAGTCATATACATCCTAAACCCATGACTAAATACCTCCGCCCTCGGTGTTTAACTCTAACTTAAAACTCTTGGCAAATTCCAGACTAACATTGTATATTTTGTAACACTGTGACCGAAGCTGAGTTTATAGTTTTAGATGGAACAGGACGACCGTTATTAGGCTGTTCAAGTGCAAAACAGTTAGGTGTACTGAAGATGGGACCGGAAGTGAATACCTTAACTGACACAAATATAAAGCAGAAGTTTCCAGAATGTTTTCAGGGTGTGGGAAAATTGAAAGATTTTGAATTGAACATCCATATTGATCCTGAAGTTAGACCTGTGGCGCAGAGTCCACGACGAATACCTTTTGGATTGAGGAAGAAAGTTGAAGATAAGTTGTCTGAGTTACTGGATGCAGATATTATTGAGAAAGCAGAAGGACCAACACCTTGGGTAAGTCCAGTTTGTATTGTTCCTAAACCTTCAGGCGAAATAACGTTATGTGTTGATATGAGACAGGCTAATGAAGCAATTCAGAGGGAAAGGCACCCAATACCTACCATAGATGAAATAGTTTTGGACATGAATCAAAGTACAGTGTTTTCTAAGTTAGAGTTTCCACCAAATTGAATTGGCAGAAGAATCTAGAGGAATAACCACTTTTGCAACCCACTGTGGCTTGTATCGTTATAAAAGACTCATGTTTGGGATCACATCAGCCCCAGAAGTATATCAACATATCATTCAGCAGGTTTTACAGGGGTGTGAGGGTGTTCAAAATATTGCGGATGATATAATTCTGCATGGCCCAACGATTGAATTGCATGATCAAAGGTTAACCAAAGTTTTGGAAAGATTACAAGAGAAAGGACTTACTCTCAATCCAGAGAAATGTGAGTTACACATACCCAAAATTACCTTTATGGGTCACTTAGTGTCTGATAAAGGAATCGGGCCCACTGAAGAGAAAGTGGAAGTGGTGGTTGATGCCAGGGAACCCAAAACCGTGTCGGAAATCCGAAGTTTCCTGGGTTTGGTTAATTTTTGTAGTCGGTTTATACCAGATTTGGCTACTATTGCTGAGCCTTTACGAAAGCTAACTCGCACGACAACACCTTTTGTTTGGGGTGAGGAACAAAAGAGGTCGTTCCAAGAACTGAAAGATAAGATTCCAGTGCCGAATCGTTAGCTTATTTCGATAAAGAAGCCGAAACAGTGATTGTTTCGGATGCTAGTCCTGTGGGTTTAGGTGCTGTGCTTTTACAGAGGCAAGAAGGTGTAATGAAAGTTCTTGCTTATGCCAGTAGGTGTCTCTCCGATGTGGAAAGACGATATTCTTAGACAGAGAAAGAAGCACTAAGTATTGTATGGGCTTGTGAACGATTTCACATTTATTTATATGGGATTTGTTTTAAAGTTCTCACGGATCATAAGCCATTGGAAGTAATCTATTCCAAGACACATAAGCCCTCAGCCAGAATTGAGAGATGGGTATTAAGGCTACAGAACTATGATTTTACAGTTGAGTACCTCCCAGGGCCAGAAAACATTGCGGACACGTTATCTCGTTTGATTCCAGTTAAACTTGAATCTAGTGTGAATGTAGCTGACCAGTATGTTAGATTTATTGCAGAGAATGCGGCTCCCATTGCTGTACCGATTCAAGAGATCGAGGAAGTGTCTGCTTGCGATGTGGAATTGTCTTTGGTAAGAAATGCTGTGCAAAGTGGAAAGTTGAAGGAACTACCAAGGGACTATCGTAATGTAGGTAACGAACTAACAGTTTTGGGGAAATTGGTTCTTAGAGGAGCCAGGTTAGTTATTCCAAACGCTTTACAAGCTCGGGTATTAGATTTAGCGCATGAAGGTCACTAGGGGGTCGTGAAGACGAAACAAAGAATATGTTCGAAAGTTTGGTGGCCTGGTGTAGATAACGCAGTTGAACGGAACTGTAAGGTGTGTCATGGTTGTCAGTTAGTTTCGCAAAAGCCATGCCCCGAGCCTATGAAAAGGACGGTGTTGCCGAAAGCGCCTTGGCAAGACCTTGCTGCGGACTTGTTGGGTCCAATGCCAGGGGGAGAATATCTGTTTGTTGTAGTTGACTATTATAGTAGATATTTTGAAGTTGACATTTTGAAGTCTATTTTATCTAGGAATATCATAGACTGTTTAGATTGTATTTTTGCAATGCATGGTATTCCTGAATCTTTGAAAACGGATAATGGACCACAGTTCATTTCGAGTTTAAAGATTACATGATGGTTAACGGGGTTATTCATGTTACTTCTACTCCTTTATGGCCGCAAGGGAATGGTGATGTAGAGAGGCAGAATCACACTTTGCTGAAGTCAATGAGGATTGCTTATGCGGCTGGGAAAGATTGGAGGAAAGAATTAAATAAGTTTTTGATGGCGTATCGTACTACCCCTCATACCACTACTGGTGCAAGTCCAGCGAAGTTACTATTTGGAAGAGAATTTCGAACTAAGGTGCCCTGTTTGAAACGGGAATCTCAAACTATCTAACTAATCTCTGACTATCTTAGCGATAAATCGCAGAGAGTTGTGATAGAGGGTGTAGGTTCTCGGTACCTACCCGTTACTTCTGGTGTTCCCCAGGGAAGCATTGTAGGACCTCTGCTGTTTGTTATTTTTATCAATGACCTACCTGATATTATCCAGGAACAGACAAGAACCGGCCTCTTCGCAGATGATACCAAGTTGTACCGATCAGTAAAATCCCCTTGCGACTGTGAAAGTTTGCAGCATGATATTTGAACTTGAACAATTGGAGTCATAACTCTAACATGAAATTTAACGCCTCCAAGTGTAAGGTATTAACAATAACTCGAAAAAAATCACCTGTAATTACTGACTATCGTCTGGGTAATGTAATTTTACAACGCGCTCACCAAGAAAAAGATCTGGGAATTATTGTCAAAAGCAACTTATCCTGGGATTCTCACATTTTCTCAATCGTCAGTAAAGCCAACAAGATGCTTGGTATCTTAAAGAGAACTTGTCCCCTGATTAGAGATACTAAAGTTAGGCGAACACTATACCTGACTTTGGTAAAATCAAAGCTGTGCTACGCAACAGAGGTGTGGTCCCCAGCTAATGTGAAGCTACAAGTTGCATTAGAAAGAGTTCAAAGGCGCGCTACACGTTGGATCCTCAAAAGTAAAGTTGGAGAAATGTCTTATGAAGATAGATTGAAAACTCTCAATTTATTGCCACTAACTTACGATCGAGAAATCAGAGATCTTGTTCTGGTCTATAAATGTATTTTCGGCCACACTGATTTGAACATTGAACATTTTGTGTCATTTATACATCATAATCGAACTCGTACTCAGAATCCATCTCTAATGTTAAAATCTCCTTACTGTAGAACATCCACTTTCCAAGGATCGTTCTTTAACCGAATAGTTAAAACTTGGAATAATGTTGGAAAAATAGCCTCTCCTGAAAAGTTTGCCAGTTTAACAATTTTTAAAAGCTTTCTGCATGTGACATACACCGCATTGGTCAACAGTACTTTTAATGTTGATATGGCATGCACTTGGTCGCTCACAAGAGACTGTCCCTGCCACCGTTCTTAATATGCATGTTGTGTAATATATATTTGTATATAGTGAATTAGGTTGGGGTTTTTTTTTACTTTTTTTTTGGAGGGGGTGCGCCTAGCATGGGTCTCGTTGTCCCGTTTGCGCTATCCCCTTTGGACTTAAACTTGTAAATGTTTCTACTATATTTGTCCAATAAAGCTGATAAATAAATAAAAATAAATAAATAAATAATAAACAAACGGTGATGTGGCGGTGAAGGATGCATTACTGAAAGAGAAAGGGAAAATTTATGCTGATCGGAAAAGACAAGCAGCAAATAGGCAAATCAAGACAGGAGATCTTGTTCGTGTGAAGAATGCCAAGCCGAAGAACAAGCTGTCATCAATGTTTGAAGATGCTTTGTATAAAGTGAAGAATAAAGATGGAAACGAAGTTACAGTTGAATCTGAAGATGGAGTACAATACCGGAAAAATTCAGTCCATGTTAAAAGATATGAAACTGAAGAGTGTTTGAATCCGGAACCGGTTGATGCTGAGAAAACCTCAACTAGAGAGAATGGAGTTTCGTGTGAACAGAAACATGAACAGACTTTAGTCAGACCTAGAAGAGACTGTCGGCCTCCAAAACGTTTTGATGAGTATTTATTGTACAAGTAATTAAAGTATTAGGGGAACTGAACTTAATATAGTTATTTCTTTTAGTTAAATTAGAAAGAAAAAACGTTAAAAAAAACCACTTTTGATTAGAATAATGTTTCAACTATTTGGAACTGTTAGAACTTTCAAGGTTTAATAGTAGGATAATTAATTATAATAATTTATGAACTATGGATGATTTATTCGGACTCGTATATTAGTAGACAAACTTGTTGAATGGTCCTTTAGGGAAAAGGATGCTCCTGAAAAAAGGAGGGATGTAATATATTCATTGTGTTGTATATATAATTAGGGCTAGACTATATAAGTGCATGCATAATTAAACATGTTGTTCTTCTTGTATGCTTGCTGTTTGGTCTAGTGTCCTAGGTTGTTTTATGACCAAAGTTAATCAATTGCATCGTGTTGTATTTCTGCTCTATAACAACACATAAAGGGAGGGGGATGATGAGGGTGTTGATGTTACAGGCGATGGCGGTGGTGGTGGTGGTAGTAGTGTTGGGGGTTGTTGCATGATTATTTTGTCAAAGAAGAAATCGCCAGGTAAATTTTCAATGAGGTCATTGGGGGTCCTAGGTAATTTGATATGAGTTGTTCAGCTGCTTGGGCTGCTTGTGTTTCCACACTGTGGTCTGTTTCCATTGTAGTGGTTTTCGATGTTGTTTGGGTAGTGGTGTTGAATTTCATACACTCTGCGGGTGAAGTTTTGCTCGTATATGAAATTGTAGCTGTGGCAGGATGAGGTTTTGTATTTTGTTGTTGTTGTTGTTTCCATCGTATGAAAGCTAATTCATAGCTTAGATTTGTATTATTTTTAAATTTGTAAAACTCTGAGAACATACCCATATAATTATACACCATGGGATCCGACATAGTTGTGCCATGATAATCTAAGAATGTCAGAAAATCTTGTTGCGGTGAGCACAATGTGATGAATAAACCTTGAAAAAATTGTCTGTAGATTAAATTCAGGTCGTTTACCATATAGGGAATGTGTGTGGGTGTTCTACAGTTGTTACTCAATTACCTTATATGGGTAAGGTATGTGAGATAACGACTAGTTACTCGATTACTGTATATGGTTAAGTTATGAAGCTTGTGCAATTAAGACTGATGTTACGTTATTTGTTTATTGAATTCTTTAGACCCAGTGGGAGTTTGACCTTGTTCGTCTTAATAGGATTAACGGTGGCGGTGTTGGCATATTTGTTTTCTTGTGATGAATGTTTTGATGTTGTTATGGAGTTATTTAAATTGATGGCATCACAGCAATTTGAGTCTGTGCAGCAACCCACAACAATGGGTGAAGCAGATTTACCTGTTCCACTGGACATTGATCTAAGTGAGTTTGATAAATGTATTTGTGATTTAGCCCAACGTTGTGTTTCGAAAAAAAACATAACATTGCCTGGAAGAGTTTATACACATTGGTGACTTAACGGTTGGGATTGGTATTATAAAGATTACTATTATAAATGCATAAAGTATCTTTTATATGATGAAGGTTCTACGGATGGCTTTCATTGTGGGCATTATACAGTGGTTTTTGTTGATGTTATAAAAAATATTGTTATATGTTGCGTTGTACCCATACACCCTTGTAGCTTATATTTTCAATCGTTCAATGTTTGATGATGAAAACAGACACCATAGACTTGAGTCCATGTTATATAGGTTAACTGTGGATCAACGTAATATTCTGAGTAAGATAAGAGTTATTGCGAATGAAATGGGCATTTTGGTTTCACCAGGTTTTTTAACTTTATTATGTGAACATGCTGTGAAGACAAAGATTTACATTTAATAAACACGATTGTATAGTTAAGGGATTATTAAAAAGTTGTTGTGTGGCTAGTGATAATGATGAGAGATATGTTTTGCCAGACGGATGTGATATCATAGTTGAGGGATATTATTACACGGGCATTCATGAATATTTGTCTTTAAAAGGGGTTTATTATGAAGATTGGCTGGCAAGTGTTGAAAATGCATCTTAAAGTTTATCAAGTGAACAGCTGTATATTTGCAGTTGACTTGTTTATGAGTTTTAGATATAGCGAATGGTCTGTTGGTATTATGAATGCAAGACGTAGTAGATATGTGATGCCTATTAGAAATATGTTGTGTACTTATGTTGAACGTGGTGTACTTATACCGTATGAAGAATTTATAAGGGAAACATCTGATACGGGACTTTTATTTTCGCAGGAGTTGATTAAATATATCCAGTACTACATGGTTTTATGGAAGAACTGAGTTTTGGTGGAAAGAATTTTGGTGATAAGGGTTTATTGAAATTACAGAATACATATATTGGCGAGAACAATGATACAGCAGCTGTTTGTAAAGATTTGCAAGAGGACGAGAAATTACTGTTTTTTATTGAAACGTTTACTGCAGAAACGACATATAAATTAGTGGGACATCAAGCGTGGCCTGTCCTTACAAACAAGGGTAATATTATCATATTTCGCTATGTTTATTTTTATTTTCTGGATTTAGAGATTAAATGTGATGGACGGCGTATAGTGAAAGTGGGATTTGTTTGTTGGTCTCGAGGTCTTTACGCTGTGATTTATATTGAATTTAATGTTTATCCAGCGAGATCGGCATACGTTGCACGTAAGAAGTGGCGATTACCTTATAGTGAGATTGTTCACCCTATCGAGATTTTGATTTTTGATTCTACACATACGAAAGAGGAGAACATATCATTTGTACAAGCTCAAGCTTATCATTTTTTTTAATGTGTCCGTCGATATGCGTATTATGTACCGGATGAGTTAAGACAAAAATGTTTGGAACATACTAATATGTTTCCCTCGTATCATTTGGCTAATATTTTGAAATATCAGCAAAAACTTGTGTTGAAAATACAAAGGTTTGTGTGTATGAGTTGTATTTGTACTCGTATGTACGAACGTTATACTTGGGAAAATACTCAGTTCTCCAAACCACGCTGTAGCTGCAACGATTTGTGTGGCAACATTATGCCGGATATCTATAGAGACACAGGTTATTGGTGTGACAATGTGGTGTTTTTTACCACCGCTTCACGATGAACACGATAAGAAATTATATGAATTGTTGGAGTATGAAAAACGATCGCTGCGTCGAGGGAAATTTCAAAGTTGTTATTTGATTTATGGGCAGATATGACGTACGATATTGGATTTATGTACAACAGGAATCATTAGATGGACTGATGAAATCATGGGATTTGATAATAACAGATATGAGGAATATGGATTTACATTATAGATCACAGATTGTTATAAAATGGACATATAGTATGAAAAAACATCGTGTTCAACGAGATAGTGTAGGTTGTAGATATATAAAAATGCCAAGATGTAAACATCATTTTAGTCATCATGGTATGATATCTTTAGAACAAAAAATGCATTATGTTTATATTTATCTGTATACTTGTACGTATGAAGCAGGTAATAGTAATAGTGTAGAATATTACATAAAGTATTTTGTTAAAGAATACAACGTACTGGTTTCGAAGTATTTTATAGAACCATTTATACATTATACGGATTATTGTATGATAATACATGTTTTTTGTCTGAGACGTGCGATTGCTTTTGTTACGATGAATGTAGATGTAAATCTGTTGTTGATAGGTTTTCTGTTTAGTGTTAAATTGATTGTTCTTTTTTTAATAAATTGCTTGCTATGTGTATGTGTTCTTTCAGTTTTGTGTGATTCGAGAATGGGCGAGTATCTTGAAAGTTTATTCTTAAGACAGCATAACCAACTTCGACATGCTGAACAATGTTTCGTAGACAAACATAAAAAAGAGATTGTACAGCGAATTATGCATGTGATAGACTGCGAGGCATATATGATTTCGAAAGGACATGTTTATTTAAGAGAGATTTCGGTGTACATGTCCTATCAAGTATATATGCTGTTACGTTTTTAATAGACGGTAAATGAACAGTGAAACATACATAAAAAGCTAAGAATATAAAGTTATAAAATTCTGACTGTCCGCCATCTTGTTCTATCCCCATTTCCTGGCCGTGTGTCACAGGGAACCCAAAACGGTACCCTACTATCGTTACATCTCTTCTCCTTAAGTTTCTTAATTATAGCTTCAAAACAAAACTCAACGGAAACTGTTCGATTGTTCGAATTAGCTATGCGTTATCATAAACAAGTTCGATAACTGTTCTATGTAATCAACCGATCACATTCGGTTCAAACCTATAACTAGTTTATTTAAAGGTTTAGTGTCAATTGCACTCGTAATCTTCAAAACGTTTTGGAGCACGATGACTTCGTCCCGAGCGGCGTACATTACCATCTTCCCCATGTCTCTGGCCTCCCATTGTATCTACTTCAGGGGGCTCGTTGATTGATTCGTCGTCAGTCAACAGCTCATCTGCATTGGACAGTTCGGTTTGTAAAGGTAACTGCTCTGCGGTCGTACGTAAATGCCTTCGATTTCGACGATATCTTCTTCCATTGACCTCAACCAGGTAAGATCGAAAACCCATAACTTCAATGACCTTACCAAGAGACCATCTTGAATCACCCGGACAACGCATTCGGATAACATCCCCTGCTGACAGCCTTTTCAACTTCCGCGACTGTCGATCAAAATATTTCTTTTGCTTCTCTTTGCCTTTCTCCATCTTCTTCGTCACTCCTTCGATAAGAGTCGGTTTCAACAGTTTCTTTGCAACAGGAAGACGTGTGCGAGTACGTCTACCATACAGTAACTGGGCGGGAGAAGCACCCATGCCTTCGGTTGGTGTATTGCGCCATTCGAGTATGCTGAGGAGTGGATCCTGTTTGTCGTCGCGAGCTTTCTTTAACAATGATTTGCAGGTCTTTACAGCATTCTCAACTTTTCCATTGCTTTGTGGGTGGTGAGGACTAGAGGTAATATGGTTAAAATCCCATTCGTCACTAAAGTCTTTAAAACTTTCGCTGTTGAATGGCGGGCCATTATCGCTCATCACTGAAATAGGAATACCGTGTCGAGCAAACCACGACTTCAGTACGGTGATGACACGCGATGCCACTGTACTTGTCATGTCTTGAACTTCAAACAGCCCAGAATAATAATCCACCGCTATTAGGAATGTCTGTCCGTCCAACTCAAATAAATCTACGCCGACTTTCTCCCATGGTATTTCGAGCGCTTTGTGAGGGTGCAATGGTTCTTTGCATTGTTCTGGTCGATATCTGTTACAAATTCCACATTTGGATATGTAATCTTTAAGAACTGCCGTAATTCCAGGCCAGTAGACGGTGTCACGTGCTCGTCTCAAAGTGCCTTCGATACCGATGTGTGATTGATGCAAGCTTTTCATGGTATTTTGACGCTCTGCCGCAGGTATCACCACGCGGTGTCCTTTATACACAATGCCATCTTCATAGGTCAATTCATCACGACTGTTCCAGTATAAATAGAAAACTCTCTTACTGGGATTATCGAGTTTGGATGCTTCCTTACGATTGTCAGGCCAACCATGAGTGATAAAGTGGATCAGAATTTTGAGCTCCTCATCTCTGCTTGTTTCTTCCCGCAGTTTCTTCAATTTTCGTGGGAGAACATTTAGGTCTTCATCATGCTTTAACTGTTCGAGTTCAGCTGAAAATACTTGTTCTTTCACTGCTCGTACATCACAAGACTCTCTTTGTTTTGCGCTGACATTCAAATACGCTCGACTGAGCGTATCAGCCAGATACATCATGGTTCCTTTCTTGTATTCGACTCGGATATCGTAGCTTTGTAGTCGTAATCGCATCCGTTGCAACCTCTTCGGTGCGCTGTGAATGGGTTTTCTAAATATAGTCTCCAGTGGCTTGTGGTCTGATTCTACCACTACGTCGCTCTTTCCGAAAATGTATTGGTCGAACTTCTCGCACGCGTAGACAATGGCTAAGAGCTCTTTCTCTATTTGCGCGTAGTTGCGCTCAGTTGCTGTTAGTGCTCGAGAGCTGTAGGCAATTGGGTGGCCATCTTGTAGAAGAGCAGCTCCAAGACCGGTTTGGGAGGCATCACACTGTATAGTTACGGGCTTTGTGACGTCATAGTAGGCAAGCACTGGCGCAGTGCTGATCATTCTTTGGATTCGGACCACGGCTTCTTCGTGTGCGGTTAACCAACACCACTCGGCATCTTTCTCTGTGAGCTTCCTCAACAATACAATACAATACAATTTTTTATTCAGTACCGGTAGTAATACATACATAAATATAAAATAAAGATAAAGTTACGAAAAGAAGGTACTAGCTAACTGTAATAACCAAAAGGCTAATCGAGACAGTCAGCGAATTTGATTAGTAACAAAATATATTTTAGTGGGTAAACTGAATAAATAAAACACATGCAATAAAGATTTCAAAATGGACAATTTTGATGCTATAAGCTAATATGAATTCAATATATTATTTTTAAGTTTGTGTTTAAACTGTGATTTAGAAAGACCCTTAAGATTTTCGTCAATTGAATTCCACACATTACTGCCAACAAAACGTATATTAAATTTTCCATAGTTGGTTCTTACTTTTGGAAGGGAGTATGACGATCTCGAAGCAAGTCTGGTGTTATAGTTATGTTTTTGGCTTACTAATGCAAAATACTCATCAAATACGTGAGGAAGTCGACCTGTATGAAAGTCATACATAAATAGTGCATTATGATAAAAAATAAGGTCATGAAACTTGAGAAAACGAAGTTGAATGAAGAGAGGGTTAGTATGATCCTGATAGTTAGAAAATGTTATTAAACGAATAATCTTTTTTTGTAGGATAGCTAATGGATTCACTGTTGTATTGTACGTGTTACCCCAAGCAACTAGAGCGTATGTAAGAAATGGATAGATAAGTGAATAATATAAATTAATAAGAATATCCAAGGTCACAAAATTACGTATTTTTGAGATAGCTCCAATATTGCGCTTTATCTTTTTGGAGATTTCTAAAACCTGAGCTTTAAAGTTTAGGTTAGCATCTATCACTACACCCAAATATTTGAAATTAGATGTTTGCTTCAATAATTTATTGTTAATCGTTAATTGGATACTAGAAGAAATTTTTTTCTGAGGAGGGTGAAATATAACAAAGTTTGTCTTATCGATGTTAAGCTACAATTTGTTAACACAGAGCCATTTATTTATATGCTCAAGTTGACTATTTATAGTAGATTCAAGAATTGGTAGGCTTTTATTATCAAAGAATAAGCTTGAATCGTCAGCAAAAAGAAAAAAGTCAAGAATTCTGGAGGAATTACAAAAATCATTTATATAGATTAGAAATAGAAGTGGGCCAAGGACAGAACCTTGAGGTACACCACATGTAATAGGCATTAAAGATGATCTAACATTGCCAATTGTCACAAACTGTTGCCGATTCTCTAGATACGATTGGAACCATTTAAGTGCCACGCCTCGTATACCATACCATTCAAGTTTTTGCAATAAAATATGATGGTTAACTGTATCAAATGCTTTCGACAAATCAAGGAATACAGCACACGAATATTTACCATCATCGATAGCTTTCTGTATCTTATCAACTATTGATAAAATTGCATGTAATGTAGAATGATTTGAACGAAAGCCAAACTGTTTAGTATATATTATATCATATTTTTCAACAAAGTTTGACAGACGTTTAGACACAATTTTTTCAAGAATCTGGTTAAAAATAGATAATAAAGATATAGGGCGATAATTGTCTAAAATTAATTGTGAGCCTTTTTTATGTACAGGAATGACACTAGCCAGTTTGAATTGGCTAGGTACAGTACCAGTTGAAAGACAACAATTAAAAATAGATTCCAAAG